CTGCCCCTGCCCCTGCCCCCTGCAAAGTGTTGGGTGAGCGGGAGAATAGTTCAAGCAGTCCCAGAGGTAGATACCCAGATGTTTGCCAGGAAGAGGACTGACCTAGGATGGGAATTGCAGGCCCATCATCCTGGATCCGGCAGACCCGACAGGCAACCTCGGCCCGAATGCCCGCTGGGACCTGCTGGCCAAGGAAGCTGCAGCCTGCATATCCTCCCTGTGCTGCATAGACAGAGATGGCACCCCCATCCAGCCATGGCCAGTGAGGGTGAGAGACCTGTGGTACAGCAGGGAGCATCTTGGTGGGGGGGGAGGGGCATTGTGATCGGGGGGGAGTGGCATGATTCCTCCCAAAGGGGCAGAGCCCCGTCATGGCCCAGATGTGCCCCCATGCCTCCAGGTCCTATCTATTTGCATTCTCTCAGCTTTTCTAGGAAGGTTGGAAGTAACCAGCATATTCTATCATCTTCCCCAGGCTGCTGTGTGAAGCCCAGTAAATCAGTGGTCCTGCCAGATGGACAGATGGACACCAACCCTCCACATGGGGAGACTCAGGGTCACATGCCAGATGTGTGTGTGTGTGTGTGTGTGTGTGTGTGTGTGTGTGTGTTGGAGTGCAGCCTGCATGGGTGGGCACTTTCTGGGTTTCCAGCTTCTTCAACACCCTGGTGACCCTCTGGTCTCAGCTGCATCTGCCCCACCGAGAATGTCCTCCTCCTCCCCGATTCTTTCTACCCATCCACACCAGCTCCCATCCTTCCTTCTGACGGTCATCTCTGACCTCCCAGTGGCTGCTCCTCCTTCCCTAATCTAAGAACTTTTCACAGGGATGGTTGAGTTTTATTCTGGTGGTCTTTTTCTTTTTAATTATATTTTATTAAAATTTTTCAGGGAGGAAGGGAGAGGGTTAGAGAGTTAGAAACATCAGCTGCCTCCTGCATACTCCCCACTGGGTATGTGCCCGCAACCAAGGTACATGCCCTTGACTGGTATCGAACCTGAGACCCCACAGGCAGACGCTCTATCCACTGAGCCAAACGGGCTAGGGCAACGCTGGTGGTCATGATCCAGCATCTAGAAGGGTTCAGAAATCCAGAGAAGGGTTGTGCATAAATTAAATAAGAGTCCAAGGACGAAGCATAATTTTGAAAGGCTTTATGAGGGCCAGACGAGACTTAGCTAAAGGAGCTAAGTCCCCCTTGTCTCAGGACCCCTTGCTTTTTATTAACACAATTTGTCCTAAGGCAAGGTGGAGATATGCACATCAAAGGTAGGGTTAGTACATGAATCCATTGTCAGATTGGAAGAATTTGCCTGCGACTATTCAGCTGTTTGGCCAGTAGGAGGCAATGACATGTAGATTAAGATGCCCTGAAGTGGCTGGCAGCAAGTAATCTTCCTTTTCAAGTTTGCGGAAATACCTTTAGCCATTCCCAACAGGAGATTACATATGTGACTCAGCCCTTGCTGAGTCCCCACGTACCATCAACCTTTTGATGAAACTCTTGCAATTATGACATGCTGGAATTGGCTTCCGGCAGAGTTTTCATCTCATCTGTCGGCCACATTCAGTTGGTTGTGGCTGTCCGGAGCCCTATGTGTTAAAGGATTTTGAAGAATGGATGCCTAGCCAGGAGGAGTGACCTAATCAATTAGTGATGTCTGCCATGGATGCACAAGAAAAAAGTAGTGGCGTGAGTGCTGTGATTGATTAGCAATGTCTGGGCTATTGAGAAGCTTCCTGAGCTCGGCTGCTAGAAAGACAGCATGCTGGGATCGGCTACTTATGTCTGCCACAGACACAGACAGGGAGTGGGATAATGCATGTCATGCGGTTCCTGTCCTTGGACACTTCGCCAGATGCCTTTTCCTCGGAGGCCTCCTTTTGGACACCTTTCCCCAGTTTGCACATCTTCATGCCATGCCATACAGTCTGTACCAAGTTCCTGCCTTTTTTCTTTCTGCTACGATGCCACCAGTGGGATCCTCCATCCCCAGAGCCTGCATGTGAGCCAGTGCCATGGTCACAGTGCCAGCCTGCCTCTGCCCTCCAGAGCAAACCCACCGGCGTTTGCTGGGGGGCACGTCTGACCTCCGGTGCAGTCACATGTCCCTCTCAGTCCAGGACCAGCACTCCGGAATCGGGAGTGGAAAGGGGTTCCATCCGAACCCTGGACCGGCGGCAGGAGGCTGGGGCCGCCTGGACGATAGTTTCGTTATTGGACCACCGCTGGCTGAATCGGAGGAAGCTGCTGCTGCCCTGCCCACCGCCTCTCTCCCACAGAGCAGGGGGCCAGACGCAGGGATGTGGCCTCCCCCAGCCACAAACATCTCCCGGGACCGGGCCCCCAGGGCTGCAGGGGGTGCTTCTGCGTCTCTTCTTCAAAATAAACTAAATCCCAGCCAGAATCTGGCTCAGGGGGGTCTGAGACGTGAGCATCTGTCCTCCCATCCTGGGGAGCACCGGGAGGAGTGGATGCCCGGGGGACAAAGGGGGGAGGGCAGGTCAGGACCACATTCCCAGCATAAGCATCGTGACCGCCTATTGAGTGGGTGAGGGTGTTGTCCGTCCAGGAGACAGAGAGGAAGCAGCCTGGTTCTGAGGGGGTACGTGTGGGAGGATTGAAGAGGGTCTGGGTGACTAGGATGTGTCCGTGGTAGAATCATCAGGTATAACAAACGCCCTGCCTGGGTGGTGAGGCTGTGCCTGTGGGGGGGCAGGGATTACATAGGAAATAGCTGGGCCTTCTGCCCAACTTTGCTGCAAACTAAATCTGCTCAAAAACCCAAAGATTTTAAACAAAGAAGAGTAAGGGGACATCATATCTGCAACACGCTCCCAAACAGCTCGGTAATGAGGCCGCTGATGAGACGTGCATGCAGAATAAGGGCAGGTGCGAAATGTTCTGGATGAGGACAGAAGAGGGAGTTCTTTGTACTCACCTCACACATTTCCTCAGCATTTCAGATGATTTCAGAATCAAATCTTTAAAAAGTAAAAAAAAACAAACAAAAAAAAACATGGACTTTGGAGTCAGGTAGTGCCGGGTTAGAACCCAGCCAGACAATTTACTAGCTGTGTGACCTTGGGCAAGTGTTTCCACCTCTCTGACCCTCCACATGTTTAAAAATATATATTTTATTGATTTATTTTATTGATTTTTTTACAGAGAGGAAGGGAGAGGGATAGTCAGAAACATCGATGAGAAACACCAATCAGCTGCCTCCCGCACACCCCCCACTAGGGATGTGCCTGCAACCAATGTACATGCCCTTGGCTCGAACCTGGGACCTTTCAGTCCACAGGCTGATGCTCTACCCAAACCGTTTAGGGCATGAGCCTCCACATTGTTACCTAAAAAGGAAGCCTGATGACCCCTTCCCAGCTGACTTCTGTTACGGTGAAAGCCAGATAGGAGCAAATGAGGACCTTTAATGGACAGTTGTAATAAGAGTTCTATAAAAAAAAAACACAACAAAAACAAAACAATCGATGTAGATCTAGAGATTTCTTTTACGGAATTGGCTCGTGCTGTTGTGGAAGTTGGCAAGTCCAAATTCTGCAAGGCAGGCGGGCAGGAGGGAGGCCCAGGCAGCTCCAGGCTGAAGGCATCTGCTGGTGGGATCCCCACTTCCTCCAGGGTAGTCCGTCTTTTTTACACAGAGGCCCTCCTCTGATTAGACGAGGCCCACCACATGCTAGAGTGTAGTCAGCTTTATTCCAAGTCCGCTGGTCCAAATGTTAGTCTCACCTTTAAAGCCCCTCCCCAGAAAGATCTAGAATCGTGTTTGACCAAATATCTGGGTGCCTTCGCCCAGCCAAGTTGACGTATGAAATTAATCCTCATGGCAGAGGGGGGCTGCCATGGGGGTGTTTGCTGCTGAGACAGCCTCTGGGAGTTTTTTTCTTATTGCTTTTTTTAAATATATTTTTATTGATTTTTTTACAGAGAGGAAGAGAGAGGGATAGAGAGTTAGAAACATCGATGAGAGAGAATCACCGATCTGCTGCCTCTTGCACACCCCCTACTGGGGATGTGCCCGCAACCAAGGTATATGCCCTTGACCAGAATCGAACCCAGGACCTCTCAGTCTGCAGACCGACGCTCTATCCACTGAGCCAAACCGGTTTCGGTAGCCTCGGGGAGTTTTGTTCTCATAGCTCTGGGCAGGAGTTGCACACCTGTCTCCCCTCCAACCGACGTGCTTCTGAGCTTGTCTCTGTCCTTGCTGGGTGGGGCACGTGGCTGATGAGGCCGTGCGGGTTTCCGTGGATGCTGCAGAACTGGGCATGCGGAAGCTCCCCGTTCACCCCCTCCACCCCCAACCCCCAACCCCCTGCTGAGCCCAGCTCAGCCCTCCTTTCGCTGAGTGTCCCTGAGCTAGTCTGTCACCTCCCTGAGTCTCTCTCCTTGCCGCTCTCACTGAGTCTTGACGCCTCAGGCCACTGAGAACAGGAAGGAGGGGAAAGGCTTAAGGAAGAACTCTGACCCTATACAGTTTTGTTTTTTTAATATATTTTATTGGTTTTTTTTTTTTTTTACAGAGAGGAAGAGAGAGAGATAGAGAGTGAGAAACATGGATGAGAGAGAATCATCGATCAGCTGCCTCTTGCACACCCCCAACTGGGGATGTGCCCACAGCTAAGGTACGTGCCCTTGACCGGAATCGAACCTGGGACCCTTTAGTCTGCAGGCTGACTCTCTATCCACTGAGCCAAACCGGTTTCGGCAACGCTATACAGTTTTATTTGCTTAGCAAACACTTGTGTAGCAGTGGTGACCTGCCCGCCCTCAGCCCTTGGCAGGTACCATTTTATTCTTGCATTCGCCCAATAAGAGAGACACCACTGCTGCCCCCGTTTTACGGAGGGGGACGTCGAGGCTCCCCGAGGCAGGGGCTTGCTCGGCGCACAGGTCTAGCACGCATCCAGCTCCAGCAGCCACGTGCTTCTCCAGAATACGCCTCCTCCTCCTCCTCAGGAACAGCTGGCCGTGGGAGCTGAGGGGCGGGCGGAGCTCTGGATTGAGGAAGTCAGCTGAGAATGCTGTGAGTTTCGGTTTCCTGGCTCCTGCCAGCTTCCAAGCTCCCAGCCGAGACATCCTCCCTCTCCTCTGCCTCCTGCTCTGCTGGGAGCCGTCACCCCGGGAGCCAGCAGGAGCCATGGGCAACTGGCTGTTCAGCAATGGCCCGGAAACGGTGTACGAGATGCCTGCTCATGCACTGGATGATTATGTCCAGTTCTCCCTGAGGCCGACGGAAGACTGTCAGAAGCAGATCGATGAGGCCGTGGACAGCATCTATGCCACCCTGCAGGAAGCCACGGAGCCTCCCGTGGTGACACACGTGGCCAAAGTGAGTGGAGGGCCGGGGTCGGGGCTCCTGGTGACGGGAAGTCAGAGAGACTTGGAGCTGAGCACCTACTGTGTGCCAGGCCCTGGGTGCACCATACGTCATCCTGTCTCCTCACACACACACCCCCACCCTCGGAGAGAAGATGGGATATCGTTTAGCGTTTTAGGAGCACAGACTCTGAGGCCCGCTCTGCCCCTCATTGCTGTGTGACCCGCGGGTGGTTGCTTAACCTCTCTGTGCCTCAGCCTCTGAGTCTATAAAATGGGAGAGGAATGGCCACCCATCTGAAAGTGTCAGGAGGCTTGAGCGTGTCATGTTCTTAGGACAAGGCCTGGGACACGGTGAGTGCTCAGTGCATTGGCTGTGATTACTCCCTGCTCCTGTTCTGTCCTTCCCATCCACAGAGCAGTCAACTGGGGCTGCAGGCCTTCGGGGGAACGGCCCAAAAGTTTCTCGGTGGCTTTTCCAGCGAGGGGGGATTGGGATCGCTCATCGGTTAGAAATGGCTGGTGCTGCGGGCACAAACCTCAGGGCTGAGGTGAAAGAGTCTGGGCCTGTGGGGAGGAAAGGGTGCTGGGAAGGCGCCAGGACCCTAGGGTAGGGAGGGGGTAGGAGACTCGCTTCTCTGCAGCCACAGTGCTACTTGGCCTCTGCTGTTACACACACACACACACACACACACACGCACATACACACATATGCACTTATATACACATACATACATATATACACACGCACTTATATACACACAAACACACATGTATACATGCACGTATATACACATACACACATATACATGCATATATATACATACATACACATGTGTGTGTATAAACACATACACACATATATACACACACACATACACACACACACATACACACACACACACACACATACACACACACACACTCGGATACTGGTGTCTCCTGCCTTGGCCCAGAGGAGGAAACGGAGGCACAGGGACGTTATTTAATAGCTGGGCGTTATTTAATAGCACCACCCTGCCTCTCAATATTAATTAACTTATTCTGATTAAAACAAACACACAAACAGATGAGTGCACAGAGCTAAGTTTGCAGCCTGTTCTGGTTGCCACGAGCAACCCTACACCCGGCTCGAGGAGCAAAGCATCCCCAGTCCCCAGGGCCCCTGCCCTCCCGGTCCTGTCCCCGCCCTCCCCCGGGGCAGCGCCCGCCCGCCCGCCCGCCCGCCCGCCTCCTAACAGCAGAGACCATTTTGCCGGTATTTAACTTTGTCTACATGTAAGGTGGCCAAGCAGCCCAGCGTGCCTGGCCTGAGGGGTTTTCCGGGACCTGGGCCTTTCGACGCCAATACTGGCTGCACCGGACCAGTGGGTCACCCTGGATAAATGAGTCCGCGCCCTGTTCATGCCATGTGTGGCTTTCCTGCATTTTTGGAAAGAATCGGGACTTTTTTAAGACGCCGAGGGACACGGGACAAATTGTTAAAAATCGGGACTGTCCCTCCAAAGCGGGGGCCAGTCTGAAGAGCATTGCTATGGCACCCTGGTCTGTGGGTGGACCAATGGGTGGCTGCCACTCAACTTGAAGACTATGGTGACTTGGGGGGGGTTTTCTCAAGGGAAGTAGCACGACTGCCTCCTGGGGAGTGTCGTGACCCCCGAAAGGGTCTAGACTCTCACACCTGCTCCTCTTGTTGCTGGCAGGGCGGCTCCTATGGCCGGAAAACATTCTTAAAGGGCAGCGCCGATGGCACCCTTGTCATCTTCATCGGTGACCTTGAGAAATTCCAGGACCAGAAGGAAAAGCGATACGAAATCCTTGACAAAATCTGGCAGCGGCTGAGAGCGTGTCGGCTCGAAAGGAGGCTGGCAGCCAGGATGGAGATGCTGAGGCCCGATGGTGGCCTCGCCATCCGACTGTACACAAAGTATCAGTGCGTCACGTTGGACGTGCTGCCCGCCTTCGACGCTCTGGGTGAGCCCTCCGGGGTGGGTGGGGGTGGGTGGGGGTGGGTCTGGGTCTTGAGGACTGTTTTGAGAGAGCAACGTCAACGAGAGGGACAGTGGATAGATACCTTTGGTGCCTTCCGACGGTGGAAGGCCTTCAGCAGAGGAAGCCCCTCCTCCCCTGGCTTTCTCTCTTCTCTAGGGCTTCTCCCCATCTCCTCATTGACTTTTTATTGTTGTTTTAATCCTCACCGAGGATATTTTCCCATTGGTTTTTAGGGAGAGTGGAGGGAGAGGGAGAGACAGAGAGAAACGTCAATGTGAGAGAAACACATCGATTGGTTGCCTCCCTCACAAGCCCCAACCAGGGCCTGGGCTGGGGAGGAGCCTGCAGCCGAGGTACGTGCCCTTGACTGGAATGGAACCCAAGACCCTTTGGTCGGCAGGCCTACGCTCTATCCACTGAGCAAAACCAGTTGGGGCTCCTCATTGACTTTTTTTTTTTTTTAATTTATTTACTGTCTAAAGTTTTACACATGTTCCCTTTTCCCCTCATGACCCTCCCCCCACAAGCCATTCCCATCCTGGGTGCAGAGGGCCCCCAGGGAAGGCATATGGACATTCTTTAGATTGTTGTCGGCTGAGTCCGAGGCGACTGGCAGAGCTGCTTCTCGGATACACATTCTTCAAGAAGGCAGAACGTGTTATTCAGTACTGGCTTTTACCTTTGTCCAGATGTCCTGAGCAGGTCTAGATATGTACTAAATCCAGTCAAGCACCAGGAATGCTAGGGCCTACTCAAGAATGCAAATAAGCTCCTTTGAGCCTAAGTTTTGGTGATACTTCCTGGTATTTAGGGATATAAAATAAATGCGCTGCCTGGGCTCAGGGTCCTGTCCCTCCATCATGGCAGCATTCCACCTGGCTCCCAGCTTGCTTCTATTTCTGCCTCTGGCTTTCTTTTTTCTTTTATTTCTTAATCCCCAGCTCCTCTACTCAAGAACCGGACCCGTTCCTTTTCTGTTCTGGACGCAGAAAAGGGAGAACACCTCTACACCCGGGAAAGTCCCCCCTTCTCTCCCCACCCCCCTATTCCATGCATACAAGCTCTCTAACCCCCGACCCACCCACCCACCCCCACCCCCCATCCCCTACCATTTGTCTCTGGATCTATTCTTGTTCATCAAGTTATGTTGATCATTATATCCCACATATGAGCGAGATCATGTGATATTTATCTTTCTCCGACTGGTTTATTTCGCTTAGCGCAATGCTCTCCAATTCCATCCATGCTGTTGCAAGTGGTAAAAGTTCCTCCTTTTTTTATAGCAGCGCAGTATTCCATTGTGTAGGTGATGACGGTTTTCTAATCTACTCATCTGCCTCATTGACACAGAGGCTCCTGCACCTGTGTTCAGATTAGCTGTGCAGCAGGATTCTGATTGGCACCCGGTCTGGGAGCCACTGCCCTGCATCGCCCTACCTTACAGACTCAGTGCTGTGAGGGGGTGCAACTGCCAACTGGCATCCATCCCAGCCTCCAGGGCTCTGCCCGCACCTGCCTGCACCTGCCTCCTCAAGGTACCTGTACCCTTGACTCTGAACTGGAGCATTCCCTGGATGAGCTCAATAGCGGAATACATCGTATGTGATATATCAACTTTATTTCCTTCCAGGTGTAGGCCAATGCCATTTTTTCAAAGTAACCACCTCTTCCCTACTTATTCGGAACTCCTTCTTTTTTTCATTTTATACTTGTTTCTCCTTTCCTCTGTTTGCTCTCCCTGGTCTTGTCTTCGGCCAGCGCCATAGCATTTGCGTGCCGGTCATTGTAGACTTCATTTTTATCACCGAGCAGGGCAAGCCGCCCCTCGCCTTTTACGCAAACATACCCAGCCTCTGACCGAGGAAGCCCTTTGCCATCAAACCGCACCCAACCTTCAAAGTCCCCTTTCTCTCTCCTGCCAGACTTAAGTGGCAAGCCCAGCCCCTCGACCTACCGCGACCTCAAAAGAGCCTTGGACAAGGCAAGGGCCAGCCCCGGGGAGTTCTCTGTCTGCTTCACACAACTCCAGCAGAATTTTTTTAACAACCATCCCAGGAAGCTGAGGGATTTGATCCTCTTGGTAAAGGACTGGCATCGACTGGTAAGTTTCATATTGTGTTTCCTCGGCTGGCAATCCATTGCCTGTTGGGTCCCAATAACTTGCAATCCAAGAAAGTACAACAGTCTTGAGTATGCAGCTCGGTGCATTTTATATTGTTTTAAGCAAAATTCCGCAAGTGGCCGCAGTTAAGACTCCCCCAAACAGCCCACCATCCTAACAGCTGTCACCACAAATCCGCTTTGCTTGCTTTTCAACTTGCTACGAATGGAATTTGACTGTATGTGTGTTGTGTCTGCTGTCTTCTGTTCAACATTACGTCTGAGAGGTTTGTCCATGTTGGTGCGTGTGATTGTCGTTTTTCATTGTTTCGTAATATTCCATGGTATTACTCTACCACACATTTACCCATTCTGCTACTGATGGGCATTTGGGTCATAATTCGTAAAAGCTGGAGCTATTATGAATTATGTGACTATGGGTATTCCCTGCATGTGTTTTTGTAAATTGTAGGCTCCTTTTTAAAATATACATTTTCTGCCGAAACTGGTTTGGCTCAGTGCATAGAGCGTCGGCCTGCGGACTGAAAGGTCCCAGGTTCGATTCCAGTCAAAGGCATGTACATTGGCTGTGGGCACATCCCCGGTAGGGGGGTGCAAGAGGCAGCTGATTGATGTTTCTCTCTCATCAATGTTTCTGACTCTATCCCTCTCTCTTCCTCTCTGAAAAATCAATAAAATATATCTTTTAAAAATAATAATAAAATAAAATATATATTTTCTTTTAGTGATTTCAGAAGAGGAAGAGAGAAGGAGAGAGAGATAGAAACATCAATGGTAAGAGAGAATCATTTATCGGCTGCCTCCTGCATGCCCCCTACTGGGGATTGAGCCTGCAGCCCAGGCTTGTGTCCTGACCAGGAATTGAACCTCTTGGTTCATAGGTCAACGTGCAACCACTGAGCCACACCAGCTGGGCAAGCACTCCTTTTTCTTGAATAAATATGCAGGTGTGTAACTGCTTGGCTATAAAGTATATGTATATGAAAACATATGTGTGCGTGCATATATATACACATGGCATATATGTGTGAGCATGTGTGTCCACAATGAGGAATAGTTACATATTTAACTTTAGAAAATATGGCCAACTACAGGCGGGCCTTGACTTACAATGGTTTGACTTAAGATTTATTTTTAAATATGTTTTTATTGATTTTAGAGAGAAAGTACGGGAGAGGGAGAGGGAGAGATGCCTCCCACACACACCCTACCCAGTGACCGACCCTGAAACTGGGGTCTGTGCCCTGATGGAAATTGAACCGTGACTTCCTGATTCATGGGGTCGACTTCAACCACTGAGCCACACCGGCCGAGCTGGTTTCTTGATTTCAGAGTCCTCACATGGGAAGAACTGGGTCTCTCCATTAGCTGCTGCTCCATTCCTCCCCCACAGTGCCAGAAGCGGTTGGAGCCTCGGTCCCTGCCACCCTCATATGCTCTCGAGCTGCTCACCGTCTATGCCTGGGAGGAGGGGTGCAGAGAGGAAGACTTCGACATCGTCCAGGGCCTCAGAACTGTCCTGGGGCTCATCCAGCAGCAGGAGCAGCTGTGCGTCTATTGGACAGTCAACTACAACTTCGAGGATGAGACCGTCCGGAACGTCATGCTGGGCCAGATCCGATCACCGAGGTGCCCAAAACCCCCAGGGCCCTCTCTCTCTCCCTCTCCGTGGGCATGCCAGGCTGTACCCCTTTAAATATTTTTTTTTTATTGATATTTTACAGAGAGGAGGAAGGGAGAGAGATAGAGAGCTACAAATGTCGATGAGAGAGAAACATTGACCAGCTGCCTCTTGCACACCCCCTGTTGCGGATGTGCCCGCAACCAAGGTAGATGCCTTTGACCGGAATTGAACCTGGGACCTTTCAGTCCGCAGACCAATGCTCTATCCACTGAGCCAAACCGGTTTCGGCCAGGCTGCACCCCTTTAGAATGAGTGCCCTCCCCTGTCCTTCCCAGCCAGGGGCGCGCCACATGGATGCCAGCAGCCCCGGGCAGGGGAGCAAGGAGAGGCCTGTCTGAGGGAGGGACCCTGAGCCCTGCTTTCCCACTACAGACCATCCATCGTCCCATTCTGTGCCCCGGACAGACCCTTGTGAGGCGTTTCCTTTACAGCAGGAAGAGGCTAAGGGAGAAGGAAGGCCCACAGAGAGAGGCCATCTTGTTACGTTATCAGTGGAGCACCGGTCTCTGCCCACCAGAGGACAGGACCAGAGGGGCGGGCGTCGCAGGCAAAGCACCTCAGCAACTGAGAGGAAGCACAGGAGAGACCAGAGGCCCAGCCCAGGCCCCGTTCCCTAAAACTGATTTCTCTTCCCACAAGCAGCCCCGCTGATTATTTAATTTTATTTTTTATAATCTAATGGAATTCCTAGGCCAGTAATCTTGGACCCAACTGACCCCACCAATCGGGTGAGTGGAGATAAGGAGTGCTGGCAACTGCTAAAGGAAGAAGCTCAAGCCTGGCTGTCTCGTCCCAGCCTGCAAGAGTCGCCATCGTGGAATGTTCTGGTGAGAGGGCGTTCCACATAGAGCTCAGACCCCACCCCACCCCCACCCCCACCCCCGACACCTCGAGATCCCCCCTGTGTCGGTTTCCTAGAGCTGCTGTAGCAAAGGCTCCTGCCCTGGGCGGCTGGGAGCAACAGAAATGTATGCTGCCCCAGTCCTGAGAATCGGGAGTCCAAGTTCAAGGTGTGGGCAGGGCTGTGCTCCCTTTGAAGCCTCTAGAGTAGGGGTGTCGAACTCAATCAGAGAAGGGGCCAAAATCTAAAATCCAGCCTAAATCGCGGGCCGAATGGTTTACTGAACAGTCATAAACTGTCATTGTGATGGAAACGCAGCAGAGTGCAGTGATGACAGCGTGGTGCGGGCCACATTGCAAGGCCTGGCGGGACGGATTTGGCCCGCGGGCCTTGTGTTTGACACATGTGCTCTAGAGAAGGAATTGGTGGTGGTCAGCAGTCCTTGGCTTGTGGCGGCATCACTCCAGTCTCTGCCTCCAGGGCCTCACGGCCTTCCCTCCATGTCTTCACACGGTCGGTCTCCCCTCCACGCTGTCTGTCTGGGTGCCTCCCCCCTCTTCTTGTGAGGACCCAGGGCGGGTTGGATTGGGGCCCAGCCAAATGGCCCCATCTGACTCGATTGCCTCTTGCAAAGACCCTCTTTCCAGATACGTTCACCTTCACCGATTAGGACGTCAGCGTATGTTTTTGGTTTTTTTGTGGGGTTTTTTTTGTTTGTTTGTTTATAATTTTTTTGTTTTGTTTTGTTTTCATTTTTTTATTAAGGTATTATATGTGTGCATATCTTACCAATTCCCCCCCCTCCCATACATGCCCTCCCTCTCCAGAGTTTTGCGTACATTGGTTATGCTTATATCGTCAGCATATGTTTCGAGGGGACGTACGTCCATCCCCTTCCAAGGAAATGATGGTAAGGTACAAACTAAGGGGAGGGCGCCTGCAGGTGAGAGGTTTGGATTGTGTCTGCAGGCGGGAAGGCGGTGGCGGAGGAAATGGAGCAGAGTCCAGGGGGAGTGGCTGATGCTCACCCCTGTGGGTGCCCGGCCAGGCCAGGGGGAGCAGTGGGGCTGGAGACGGGAGAACTATGGGAGGGGCCGGCTTTGAACCAGAGACAGTCCCTTTGCCCCTCACGCCACACAAAGGAGAAGCAAATCTATGGCCACAGAACCCGCCTGCAGGCCCAGGGCTTCTCAGAGAAAGGCGGTCCCCTGAGACCTGTGAAGCGTGCCTTGGGGCCGTAGGGCAGAGGGTATGGGGGAGGGGACACCAACCCTCCAGCGAGGCCGGAGAAGTCAGCGAAATGCCACAGGTCCCAGGATGGGACCCCTTTACACCCAAACGAGGGGAGGCAGCTTCTGTGTTCTGTCCGCACAGAAACTGGAGGTGCAGCTGAGCAGAGGTCTGGGAGGTCAACGGAGATGGAAATAGATGGAGGCCCCAGGCGGGAAGCTCCCTGTGAACAGGAAACCCCTAGTGGCTGCAGAAGGATGGGGACCCTCTGAGCGGTCGCCCCTGTGCCTGCACCCCACCCCGCCCTGCCCCTGCTTTCACCAGACCCCTGGTCTTGGCTCCCAGCCTCCTAAGGCGGCTTTTGAAAACATGTTTCTCCCAGCATTTCATTCTGAAAGCATTCACGTGGAAAGGAAAGCTGCAAAGATGGTCAGGGCACTCCACCTCAGTGCCCTCCCCGTAGAGGCCCTTCACCTGGAGGTCCAGTGGTTAGCGCAGTCCGCACTTGGTGGGACAGCGGGGGGGTGTGGGTATCATTCGTTGAGGCTCGCATGGGACCTGTCTCCAATGACCAGCGTCCTTGAGAGAAGATACACGGAGCCTTGCCCAGTGTGGCTCAGTGGACAGAGTGTCGGCCTGCCGACTGAAGAGACCCAGGTTCGATTCCAGCCAAGGGCACATACCTTGGTTGCAAGCTCAATCCCCAGCCCCGGTGGGGCACTGGAAGGAGGCAGCTGATCGATGGGTCTCTCGCACACAGGTGTTTCTCTCTCTATGTCTCTCCTTGCTCCTTCCACGCTCCCTAAAAATCAGTGGGAAATGTCCAGGGGTGAGGATTAACACCTACAACAAAAAGAAGGCACCCAGAGACACACACGGAGGGGAGAAGGTCATGTCCACGCAGAGGTCAGGGTCGGAGTGACGCGCTTACCGGCCAAGGGGTGACTGGTCCGCCGGAAGCCGGAACAGGCCAGGCAGGGCCTCCCCGGGGGGCGTCAGAGAGAGCAGGGCCTGCCCACGCTTCCCTTAAAAAAAAAATATATATATATATATATTATTGATTTTTTACAGAGAGGAAGAGAGAGAGATAGAGAGTTAGAAACATCGATGAGAGAGAATCATCGATCAGCAGCCTCTTGCACACACCCCACTGGGAATGTGCCCGCAACCAAGGTACATGCCCTTGACCGGAATCCAACCTGGGACCCTTCAGTCCGCAGGCTGACGCTCTACCCGCTGAGCCAAACCGGTTTCGGCAACGAGCACACTTCCCTCCGGATCCTTAGTCTCTGGGCTGTGAAAGGATGAACCTGTGTCGCTTCACGCCACCCCACTGTCACGTGTCATGGCGGCCCTGGAACCGGTCCCCGGGTCCCGTGTTTAAGCGAAGCCGATAGAACCTGGGGAAAGAAATAAGTGTGACCATGGGAAATCTGTCACAGCCACAGGAAACAGGAAAAGAAGGGAGGAACAGAGGGGCAGGGGAGGCTGAGGAGTGATGGCAATGACGCTGCTGGAAACAGTGTGGAGAGGGGCTGTGGGGGGGGGGCGGGCATGAAGGACCCCCACGGAGAAGGATTCAGTTCTCAGCTAGGGGAGAGTATCATTTCTGGGTACGCCCTAAACTAAGGTGACCAGACGTCCCGCTTTTGGCGGGACAGTCTCGATTTTTAACAATTTGTCCCGCATCCCGCGGCATTTTAAAAAATCAAATCATCTTACTATAAGAAGATGTCTTTTGAAAAAAATAATAATAATAATAAAAGACATCTTTCCAAAAATCGGGACTTTTTTAAAACGCCGTGAGACGCGGGACAAATCATTAAAAATCCGGACTGTCCCGCCAAAAGCGGGACGTCTGGTCACCTTACCCTAAACTCAAATATGTCCCTGGGATATCCTATATAATAAAAGCCTAATATGCAAATCAGCCAAATGGCAGAACGACTGGTCGGTGGGGGATGGGGCCTGTGAGCGGGTGGCACCTGGCCAGCCAAGGTGGGTGCCAGCGGACAGAGGGAGGAGATGGCAATGGGGGGCGGGGGCGGATGGCAACCTGCTTGCTCGGCCCACCTCTCGCCCCCCCACAGAGGGGGGCCAGACTGTGGCTTAGGCCCACTCCCCACACTGTCAGTGGGACATCCCCCAAGGGCTCCTGGACTGCAAGAGGGTGCAGGGGGGCTGAGGGGACCACCCCCCCACACCGCCCCAGTGCACAAATTTTCATGCCCGGGGCCACTGGTGTCACTATAAGAAGTAAGGACCATAGTGTTGCTGGGTTGGAGGGCAGGAGGGAGAGGCGGGAGGAAAGCCTGGGGCCAGCTGGCAGGGGGCACTCACAGCGGGGTTCTCGCACCCTCCCTGACCCTCCCCACAGCCGACCCCGCTCCACGAGACCCCCGGCCACCATCTGGACAAATTCATCAAGGACTTCCTCCAGCCCACGAAAACCGTCAGACTCCAGACCAAGGCAGCGGTCGGCATCATCTCCAAGTTCCTGAAAGAAATCTGCTTCCGGAACTCCGCCACCAACGTGCAGAAGCCCATCAAGGTGAGCGCGCCTGTCCCCACGGGGTCACGGCGGGGTGCTGAGCCGCAGCCGGCGCTGTCCCCCGGCAGGGGCATGGGATGAGGGAGGGCAGCGGGTTCTCCGGGTGGGGGTGGGGGTGGTGCTGAGGGACTGCTTACGTCATTAACGAATTTCAAATACTTTAAAATTATATATATGTATATATATATATATATATATATATATATATATATATATATATTATTGATTTTCCACAGAGAGGAAGGGAGAGGGATAGAGAGTTAAAACATCAATAATGAGAGTAACATCGATCGGCTGCCTCATGCACACACCCCCCACTGGAGATGTGCCCACAACCAAGGTACATGCCCGTGACCAGAATCGAACCCGGGACCTTTCAGTCCGCAGGCTGACGCTCTATCCACTGAGCCAAACCGGTTTCAGCTCAAATACTTTTAATACCTCTCCTAAAAGGGCCCCCCCCCCCCCCCGCCGTGGTACAGGAACACACATGGGGCAGGGAACACAGCCTATTTAGTTATCCCTCCTCCGGTTCCTCACTGGCTGAGTACTATTTGGTCACCTGTTTCCTAATAGGCCGCCTACGTCCTGCTGTCTCCCATTGGGCCATTTAAAGTATTGGACTGAGACCTTCCTGGCCGGCTCCGCCGCCCTCTGTGTAGGGGAATCCTCCTGGGAAATGTGCTCTCAGCCCTGAGCACAGCTCCCACACCTCTCCCCATCTCCCACCCCCCATATCCCATATCCGGTTTGCTCTGGGGAGTCTCAGTCACCGCCTGGCCACATGCTGTTTCTTTTCTGTGAAGATGAATCAGGGGCTTGTTTCTTCCATCTCCGCGCCCTCCCCCCCCAACCCTCAGAGAAGCCTGCAGACCAAGCCCCTCCACACAGAATGGGCCTGGCAGCTCCCCTGGGGGCCGTCAAACCAGGGCCCTTGCTGAAACCGGTTTGGCTCAGTGGATAGAGCGTCGGTCTGCGGACTGAAAGGTCCCGGGTTCGATTCCGGTCAAGGGCATGTACCTGGGTTTCGGGCACATCCACAGTTGGGGTTGTGCAAGAGGCAGCTGATTAATGATTCCCTCTCATCGATGTTTCTAATTCTCTATCCCTCTCCTTTCCTCACTGTAAAAAATAAATAAAATATATATTTTTTTAAAAAAACAAACAAACCAGGGCCCTGAACTCAGACTAGTTTTTACGTTTTCACAGAGTTGTTGGGAAAGGAAAGGAGGGTGGGATGGGGTGGGGGAAAGGCAGGAAGGAGGAAGTGGAGAAACCCCTTATCCAACCTCTGCCAAACCCGGAATCTCAATGATGAAGGTTCGCCCAACGGATGCCGGGATTGCAGGAGGAAGCAATGAACCCGGGAACCGATGAGGAATGTCATCCCAGGGACTGCATCCGGTGGATTTCTCTCAGGTCCCTGGAATGGAAAGCCAAGTACGCTTTAGGTTAGGACTGTGGTCGGCAAACTGCGGCTCGCAAGACGCATGCGGCTCTTTGGCCCCCTGCGTGTGGCTCTTCCACAAAATACCACGCACCCTAATTAAGTGAACAACAAGGTACCTACCTATCTAGTTTAAGTTTAAAAAAAAAATGATGTGGCTCTCAAAAGGAATTCCAGTCGTTGTCCTGTTGATAGTTGGCTCTGCTGACTAATGAGTTTGCCGACCGCTGGGTTAGGAGACATGGTGGGGGCGCTGACTTGAGACGTGGTTGGTTTATAACCAACCCGGGAGTGTACACAAGCACCTCAAAGGGTGTGAGAATTGCCGCTTTCGAACCCCATTGTTCTAAGGGTGTGAAAAAGCAAACAGTCTGCGGGGGACTCAGCCCTCACCAGACCCCAGCTTGAAAGCTCATTCCTCAGCCCCACGGGTACCGGGTACCATGTTCCCCCAAAAATAAGACATCCTCCGAAAATAAGACCTACTTACAGGTTTCCTTCTGAGTGAAATATAAGGCATCCCCCCGAAAATAAGCCCCCCCCCCCCCAGGCTAACCATGAGAGATTTGGTCCACTGATTCTGAAAGAAATGGAGTCACAAGAAATTCACCAGGAAATTCAGGAATTGGATTGTTAGGGTGATGTTCCAGAAGATGATGACATGATTGTCAGTGAATAAATGAGTAAATTCTTGATACTGTAGGATTCACAGTGTGTCTGGTTTGTGTTGACAACTACCGTACTACCGTACCGTAGACAGGTAATGAATTTCCTTTGTTTTCATTTAACAATAAACGTGTACCGTATTCTTCTTCATGGAAAAATAGGACATCCCCTGAAAATAAGACCTAGCGCATCTTTGGGAGCAAAAATTAATATAAGACACTGTGTTATTTTCGGGGAAACAGGGTAGAAGCCTGAGGGGAGTGGGTGAGGGGCTCTCGCTGGGTCTCCACCTGCCTGTCCTGCCAGGCAGGGTCAACGGGCAAAGGCACCGCCCTGAAGACCGGCTCCGACGCCGACCTCGTGGTGTTCGTGAACTCGCTGACCAGCTTCCCGTCCCAAAGAGCCGAGCGCTACTCGGTCATCAAGGAGATCAAGCGGCAGCTGGAGGCCCAGCAGCAGCTGGCGGCCGAGCCGGACCTGGAAGTGACCTTTGAGATCTCCAAGTGGGAGGCCCCCCGGGTGCTGAGCTTCTCCCTGAAGTCCAGGCGCCTCCCCGGGCCCGTGGACATGGACGTGCTGCCGGCATTCAACGCGCTGGGTGAGGCCCCACGCCTGCCTTCGCTCCTGGAGGGGGAAGGATCTGGAGCGCTGGTGGGAGGGGGCGGAGAGAAAGCCACAGGACTCGGAGACGGGTCACGGGGCCACGGCCCCCACAGGTGGCATGAGTAATGGCAGCAACATAACAGGGTATTAAAAGAACCCAAGGAGCCCTGGCCAGCATGGCTCAATGGTTGGAGCATCAATCCGAGTACCAAAGAGTCGTAGGTTGGATTCTCAGTCAAGGGCACACATCTGGGTTGTGCTCCCTGTCGGGGTACGTGCGGGAGGCAACCAGTCGGTGTGGCTCTTTCACATCAATGATTTCTCTCTCTCTGCCTCTCCCCCTCCCTTCCACTCCTCTCTAAAAACCAATGGGAAAGTGTCTTGGGGAAACGGTTAACCAAAAATAGTAATAATAATAATTAATAATAATAATAATAATAATAATACCACTAGTAAAGATACAGAGCACATCATCTGTAGTGTCATTACTCTAGAGATGTAACTTACAGGGACACTGATAGAATTCAAGCCGGGATCCCAGGATCGAATGCAGTTGTCAAACCGTTACTTCCTGTCCCCGTAGAGTGAGGCATCCTGTCCTTCTCTCTCTCCCCCACGCAGAGAAGCTGAGGCCTCTCTGGAGGGTCTACGCCCAGCTCATCGCTCAGTACCAAGAGCACCCCGACACTCCCGGGGGCGAGTTTTCGGCCTGCTTCACCGAGCTGCAGCGAGACTTCGTCAGCTCCCGGCCCACCAAGCTGAAGGACCTGCTGCGCCTGGTGAAGCACTGGTACAAGCAGGTGTGCCGGGGCGGGGAAGCCAACATGTACCCAGGCCCCACACGCCCACGCTCTGCCAGGCCGGCCCGGCCGCCTTCCCCCCGGGACCTTTGTGGAGGAACCCCCCAAAGGGACCCCATGGAGTCGGGCTGGGTGCAGAGCGTCTCCTGCCGTCAAAGCTGCTGCCGGGGGTTTCCTTGGCCCTTGCTCTACCACCCAAAGCATTCTGCAGGGCAGGTGCCAGGGGCTTGCATGCCTCGGAGGTGCCAGCCCAGCTTTCCTGCTGCTCCGAGCCCCTAACGGACAGACACTGGCGCCATCTCCTGGAGACAGGTGGGAGCTACAGGTGGTCCAGGGGCTGCATGTCCTACAGTATTGGTTAGCCCGCCTTCACTTTTTTATATCTTTTTTTTTTTTTCTTGATTTCAGAGAGGGAGGGAGAGGGGGAGAGAGATAGAAACATCAATGATGAGAATCATTGATCGGCTGCCTCCTGCACGCCCCTTATTGGGGATCGAGCCCGAAACCCAGGCATGTGCCCTTGACAGGAATCGAACCTGGGATCCTTCAGTCCCCAGGCCACACCGGCCAGGGCCCATCTTCACTTTCATCACGTCTTGCAGACACGATCGTTTCTGAGTATTTTTCGACAGCAGGCGCCAGGCATGATATCTGTTCTTGCTAAACTGTCTCCTTCCTGTGTCCGGCTCCCCGAACCCTGAGCTGAAGCCTGAGTTCTGTGCCCCCAGCCCAGACATCAGAGAGATCCTGCCACACCCCCCAGCCGCAGGGTGCTCTGAGGGCTGAGGCTACAGGCTGACCTGGAGCAGGCCCCTCACTTCCCGAAGCCTCGTGGCTTCATCTAAACCCGCAATCACCACGCCTGCTCACACCTGCCCAGGCCACTCCCACCACACAGCCCGCTCACACCTGCCCAGGCCACTCCCACCACACAGCCTGTTCACACCTGCCCAGGCCACTCCCACCACACAGCCTGCTCACACCTGCCCAGGCCACTCCCACCACACAGCCTGCTCACACCTGCCCAGGCCACTCCCACCACACAGCCCGCTCACACCTGCCCAGGCCACTCCCACCACACAGCCCGCTCACACCTGCCCAGGCCACTCCCACCACACAGCCTGTTCACACCTGCCCAGGCCACTCCCACCACACAGCCCGCTCACACCTGCCCAGGCCACTCCCACCACACAGCCCGCTCACACCTGCCCAGGCCACTCCCACCACACAGCCCGCTCACACCTGCCCAGGCCACTCCCACCACACAGCCTGCTCACACCTGCCCAGGCCACTCCCACCACACAGCCCGCTCACACCTGCCCAGGCCACTCCCACCACACAGCCTGTTCACACCTGCCCAGGCCACTCCCACCACACAGCCCGCTCACACCTGCCCAGGCCACTCCCACCACACAGCCCGCTCACACCTGCCCAGGCCACTCCCACCACACATCCTGTTCACACCTGCCCAGGCCACTCCCACCACACAGCCTGTTCACACCTGCCCAGGCCACTCCCACCACACAGCCCGCTCACAGCTCCCCAGGCCACTCCCACCCACATAGCCTGTTCACACCTGCCCAGGCCACTCCCACCACACAGCCTGTTCACACCTGCCCAGGCCACTCCCACCACACAGCCTGCTCACACCTGCCCAGGCCACTCCCACCCACACAGCCTGTTCACACCTGCCCAGGCCACTCCCACCACACAGCCCACTCACAGCTCCCCAGGCCACTCCCACCCACACAGCCTGTTCACACCTGCCCAGGCCACTCCCACCCACACAGCTCGCTCACAGCTCCCCAGGCCACTCCCACCCACACAGCCCGCTCACACCTGCCCAGGCCACTCCCACCACACAGCCTGTTCACACCTGCCCAGGCCTCTCCCACCACACAGCCTGTTCACACCTGCCCAGGCCACTCCCACCACACAGCCCACTCACAGCTCCCCAGGCCACTCCCACCACACAGCCCGCTCACACCTGCCCAGGCCACTCCCACCACACAGCCCGCTCACACCTGCCCAGGCCACTCCCACCACACAGCCTGTTCACACCTGCCCAAGCCACTCCCACCACACAGCCTGTTCACACCTGCCCAGGCCACTCCCACCACACAGCCCGCTCACAGCTCCCCAGGCCACTCCCACCCACACAGCCCGCTCACAGCTCCCCAGGCCACTCCCACCCACACAGCCTATTCACACCTGCCCAGGCCACTCCCACCACACAGCCCGCTCACACCTGCCCAGGCCACTCCCACCCACACAGCCTGTTCACACCTGCCCAGGCCACTCCCGAACTCGCTGGCCTGCCATGGCTCTTTAATGTACAGTGAGCCTCCCTGCTCAGGCCAGTATCATCCAAAGGTCTTCCTCTCCCGCCAGTGTGAAAGGAGACTGAAGAAAAAGGGGTCGCTGCCCCCCAAGTATGCCTTGGAGCTGCTCACCATCTATGCCTGGGAGCAGGGCAGTGGGGCCACGAGTTTTGACACCGCTCAAGGCTTCCGGACGGTCCTGGAGCTGGTCACCCGGTACCAGCAGCTCTGTGTCTTCTGGACGGTCAACTACGACTTCGAGAACGAGACTGTGAGGAACTTCCTGCTGAGCCAGCTCCAGAAACCCAGGTGCGCTGAGCCCTCCCCTCGCCTTTTCTTAGCCTGATTCCCTTCCACCCTACCTCCGAGAACTGGGTTCTCCCAATAAAAGAGAAATAAGCCCCAGGGAGGCGGGAGGAAATGTCACCCAGAATGGACAGGAGGAGGCCCCAGGCCCCAGGCCCAGGGCCCCAGGCCCCGGGCCCCTGTGTGGCATCCATCTTTCTCGGCCACAAGGAAAAGGGACTGGTTAGCAGGCCTATGAGGCAGAGCAAGTGTGTTCCTGAGAACTAAGGGTGTGGTTCACAGGCTGACAGATCCTACAGGCTTCTTACCGTCAGCTTTCACCCGCCCTTTCAGGGCCGCATCCCACAAAACCTTGATCCTTCAGGGATAAGAAGGCATCTCAGTTCATCTCACCAGCCAGGGACAAAAACAGCAGAAGCAAAAGAACAGGAAATGGGAGAAAAGCAAGGAGTGTGGGGAGAGTCTAGGGAAGATGAAAGAGAACAGGATGCCCTGGGCTGCCTACCATGGGGCTGGCCGCTTAGCAACATTCCATTGGGTTATGGTTACGCATCGTCTTTTGGTTGGCCTGGCATAGAGGAGGCGTTCGTACGATGCCTTCACGTATATAATAATCAGTAGCTTTCAAGACGTTTTCAACAATTATCGTTTAATTCCTGAAAATTATTTTGCAGTGTCTAAGTACCCTTGAATTTTTTTTAAAATATATTTTATTGATTTTTTTACAGAGAGCAAGAGAGAGGGATAGTTAGAAATATCGATGAGAAAGAATCATCGATCAGCTGCCTTCACACCCTCTACTGGGGATGTACCCGCAACCCAGATACATGCCCTTGACCAGAATCGAACCTGGGACCTTTCAGTCCGAAGGCTGACGCTCTGTCCACTGAGCCAAACCGGTTTCGTCTATTTTATTTCATTTTTTAAAATATATTTTATTGATTTTTTTACAGAGAGGAAGGGAGAGGGGTAGAGAGCTAGAAAACATCGATTAGTCACCTCCTACACACCTCCCACAGGGGATGTGCCCGAAACCAAGGTACATGCCCCTGACCGGAATCGAACCTGCGACCGGTTTCAGCAGCATACTTGAATTCTTGACATCCAAGTAGTAAGGACACGTTGTTTCATCGCTGAGAGGAGACACCTCTGGAGGTCACCTGGCCCCCAATCCTGAGGCCGCGGCCTCTCAGGAGCATGCCCCTCACGCGTCTCACCCCTCGTCCAGGCCTGTGATCTTGGACCCGGCCGATCCCACGGGCGACGTGGGCGGAGGGAACCGCTGGTGCTGGCATCGCCTGGCCAACGAAGCGGCTGAATGGCTGTCCTCCTCTCTCTGCTTCAAGGATGGGACCGGAGATCCCGTCCCGTCGTGGGAAGTGCCGGTAAGCATAGCCTCGAGGCTGTGGCATCTGGGGGTTGCTCTGTGACAGGCTTAAGGTGACCAGACGTCCCACTTTGCGTGGGACAGTCCCGATTTTTAACAATTGGTCCCTTGTCCCACGGTGTTTCAAAAAAGTCCCGATTTTTGGCCGAAGCCGGTTTGGCTCAGCGGATAGAGCGTCGGCCTGCGGACTGAAAGGTCCCAGGTTCGATTCCGGTCAAGGGCGTGTGCCTTGGTTGCGGGCACATCCCCGGTAGGAGGTGTGCAAGAGGCAGCTGGTGGTTGTTTCTCTCTCATCGACGTTTCTAGCTCTCTATCCCTCCCTCCTCCTCTCTGTAAAAAAATCAATAAAAAAATATTTTTTTAAAAGTCCTGATTAAGCGGACAGTCCCTATTTCTAATAATTTGTCCTGCGGCGTTTTAAAAAAGTTTTAAAATGCCGTGGGACGTGTGACAAATTGTTAAAAATTGGGACTGTCGCCGAAACCAATTTTGCTCAGTGGTAGAGCATCACTCTCTGGACTGAAAGGTCCCAGGTTCGATTCCGGCCAAGGGCATGTGCCTTGGTTGCGGGCACATCCCCGGTAGGGGGTGTGCAAGAGGCAGCTGGTGGATGTTTCTCTCTCATCGACGTTTCTAGCTCTCTATCCCTCCCTCCTCCTCTCTGTAAAAAAAAAAAAAAAAAAGAAAGAAAGAAAGAAAAATCGGGACTGTCCCGCCAAAGCGAGATGTCTGGTCACCTTAGTGTAGGATGCTGAGCGGCAACCCTGGTCCCTACCCCCTCGATGTGACCATGTCTCCGGACAGGGCCTCCGTGCCTCCAGGTGGCGGGTTCAGGGTCCAGGCGGGAAGGACAGGAGGGAAAGGTACCTACTCAGGGCATCTTCTCAGAAGCCTCATCCAGCAACTTCTCTCCATGTCAATGCCCAGACCGATCAGGGGGCATCTGTTACTTAAAAGTGATTCCAAAAGGGGGTGGGGGTGAGGGTGGGGGTGGGGAGGCCACGGATGGGGTTGGGTCAGCAACCAGGAGTCTGCCACGCCTGCTCACAGTGCCCTCGTACCAGGGCACCTGCCACCAGGTACGCTTGGCTCAGGGTCCTTCAAAGCAGGGTTTCTGGGCCTCAGCGCGAGGGACACGGTGGGCCAGTCAGCCAGGTGATTTTTAAAAAATATATATTTTATTGTTTTTTTACAGAGAAGAAGGGAGAGAGATGGAGAGCTAGAAACATCGATGAGAGCGAGACATCTATCAGCTGCCTCTTGCACATCCCCCATGGGGGATGTGCCCGCAATCAAGGCACATGCCCTTGACCGGAGTCGAACCCAGGACCCTTCAGTCCGCAGGGCGAAGCTCTATCCACTGAGCCACACTGGCCTCGGCAGCCAGGTGATTCTTTATCGCAGGGGCCGTCCTGTGTGCTGTAGGGTGCCGAGCGGCAACCATCTCCACCCACTTGATGGCACCCAGTTGTGACCGTTAAAAATGTCTCAAGACATTGCCTCATGTCCTGTGGAGGCAGCATCGCCTGCTCTGAACCCCACACCCCCACACACTCCATTCCAATCCACGGCCAACTTTAGTCAGCTAGATCTCTGTGCTGTCGACAAGCACCCCACAATTATCCCTGATAACGTTTTACCCTCTCAGAGACACTTCCTTCTCTCCCCCCCCCCCCCCCCCGCCCCATCCTTTTTTAACCAAGGGGTGTTTAATGCTTAGGAAGTATTGTTCTCACATTATCTATTTCTTTCTTCCCAGGCCGTGCAGACCCCAGGAAGTTGTGGGGCTGGTGTCTGTCCTGTTGTCAATGAGATGTTCTCATGCAGAAGCCGTGGAATCCCAGACTGGAAATGCTAGGAGAAGCTTCTGGAGGTCACCTGACAATGGCTCCTGAAGAACCAGTTCACTGTGTACACACATATCCCAGGTCCCTTCTCCCCCACTCCCCCCTCTTCCCTCCTCCCTCTCCCTCCTTCCCTGGTTTTTCTCAGACAACTCTTCCCATCAAGACTGCCATGTCCTTCTCAGAAAGTCTCGTAAACGCTCGCCCTGCTGGGCTCTCACTCTGGCCTGATTTATTAAAAACATTTGCTCTCATCCGTATTTTTCCCATTCACTCCTTCCTTTTCCTTCGAGTTTTAGAAGAGGATTCTCTCCCTCTTCTGAGGGTGAAGCCCCTGGCCTGCCCCTTGGTTCCCATAAGCCAGAGATCCTGCTTTCGTAAACTCCCACCTCCCTCTGGATGCGGACGCCACCTGTGCCTGCTGATCAGAGGCCTCCTGAGCCAGGAGCAAACCAGCCTCTCTGAAGACCTTCCAGCTCTCCTGAGCCTTGGATGGCAACTGTGGAACCATATTTACCTTCCGCTTCCTCCCTCTGAGCTTACCTTTAGTCCCCACCCAGGAGTGGCCAAATCTGAAGGCTTCATTCTCTGGCTTTTCTTCCAAAGATACGTGAAGGTCCAAGTGTTTTAGCCTCCTAGGTATCCTCTGAAAGTCTTATTACTCTCACACATGCCAACTGTCATGCAGTAAAAAAAAAAAAAAAAAAAAAAAAAAAATACCTGGCCCTTCCCGGTTTGCTCAATGGTTAGAGATTAGCCCCACAGACCAACGGGGCCATGGGTTCGGTTCCCAGTCAAGGGCATGCACCCCCATGGCAGGTCCCCCTTGCCCCGCCGGGGCACATGTGGGAGGCAACCAATCGATGTGTTTCTCTCACTTCAATGTTTTTCTCTCTCTCTTCCCCCTCACCCCCCCCCCCCGCCCTCCCTCTCTTTCTAGACATCAGTGGGAAGAGTATCCTCTGGTGAGGATTAAAAACAAACAAACAAACAAAAAATATGTGTGGTCTTTATCCCCAGTTCCTAGCACAGAGTTTCAAAAACCCTTGCCATTTCCTAGAGGAGTGTCTTCTATTCATAATGAGCGCGTGCCAGCCAGCCACTTTATGCTAATGAGTTTATGCTAATGAGGCCTGGGCTCTTACATTTCAAGGGAGGGGCTGGCCTGGCGGGAAAGATCGAGCCAGAAATGCCAAGCTCGCGATTAGAGGATTGAACTCCCCAGAGGAGAGAGGGTTGGAGATGGAGCTCAAGCATGTGGCCAGGGATTTCATCAATCCTGCCTCTCTAATGATTGATTAAATCGTTAACCGATTAATGATTATTAATGACTATTAAACCCCAATAAACACGCTGGACGGCCAGCGTGGGGAGCTTCCTGGCCGGTGAACGCGTGGATGTGTTGAGAAGATGGCACTCCACGGGGGCAGAAGCTCTTTGCCCGAGACCCGCCCAGACCTCACCCCTGTGAGCCTCTTCCCTGGCTGTTCCTCTGTGCCCTCGGTCACAGGAGGGTGCCTGCAGGCAGCATGCTCTCCTGAGTTCTGTGCGTCGTTCTGGAGAATTACTGAACTTGAAGGTGGAGTCACGTTAGGCAGACGTACAAGTGGCCTGGGGACCCCACGGGTGGCTGGCACCTGATGCGATGGTCTTGCCGGGACCTTGCCCTTGAACCGTGGGCTCTGCACTAACTCCGGGGGGGTCAGGATTGAACTGAATTGTGGGTCCGAGAGTAGGTTTTAGAATGCACCACTGTGGTTTGGCTCAGTGGATAGAGCATCGGCCTGCGGACTGGAAAGTCCCGGGTTCAATTCCAGTCAAGGGCACATACATTGGGTGTGGGCACATCCCCAGTGGGGGTGTGTGAAGGAGGCAGCTGATCAATGTTTCTCTCATCGATGTTTCTGGCTTTCTATCCCTCTCTCTTCCTCTCTGTAAAAATCAATAAAATATATTTTTTTTAAAAAAAAGAAAAAGAAAAAAAAGCCAAAACCGGTTTGGCTCAATGGATAGAGCGTCGGCTTGGGGACTGAAGGGACCCGGGTTCGATTCCGGTCAAGGTCATGTACCTTGGTTGTGGGCATATCCCCAGCAGGGGTTGTGCAAGAGGCAGCTGATCGATGATTCTCTCTCATCGATGTTTCTAACTATCTCTCTCCCTTTCTCTCTGTACAAAATCAATAAAATATAAAATAACCTTAAAAAAAAAAAAAAAAAAGCAAAGGAAAGAATGTACCACTGCGCCTGTCTAGAGAAAGACAAAGAAAGCAGCTATGACTTGCGGTTAAAGAAGGAAAGAAGGACCACCCTATGTGGCCATCTACTCAGTCCGCAACTAAGTACCATTCCCTTCGAGACACACACACTTGCCCTAGACACATAGAGGGGGAACTCTCAGACACTGCCCCTCCTCTCAGGGCGAGGGTGACCCACTGGGACCAGCACACACCTCGTTACCCTTAAAGGAAGACGAAGGGCCACTTTCAGTCACACAGTAAGTGACCTCCCCAGGACCTCAGAGGCAGGAGGGACCCTTCTCTTTCCTATCTTCTCCGCAGTCAGTAGACATCGAAGTTTCAGGCCCTCGTCCACTCCCGGTTACCCTGGCCATGAGGGCCCCACTACGTCAGAGAAAGTCCGAGAGGATCAGAAGCAGGGCCACACGCGGCGAGCGGACAATGGCCCGGGAGGGGTCTGGGAAGAGTTTGATGGGAAGACCATGAACGAGACCAGGCGTGAGGAGAATTCGTGAGTGAAGGGACTTTCTGGAGCCTGTGTGCTGGGAGCCACAGCTGCTCTGCCCTGAGGCTCCTCTGGCTGACCGCGTCGCATCTGAGCAGGCAACACGTTGTCACTCTTCAGCGCTATTTCTTCTTTCTTTTAAAATACATTTTTGTTGATTTCAGAGAGGAAGGGAGAGGGAGAGAGAATCATGGATCGGCTGCCTCCTGCACACCCCGCTGCGGGGGATCGAGCCCGCAGCCCCTCATGCGTCCTGACCAGAGATGGAACCGAGACCTCCTGGTTCCTAGGCCGATGCTCCACCACTGAGCCGGGCCGGGGAGCTCTGCAGCTCTATGTCTTGGCACTGGTGCTGGGAGGAGCCTCGGAGCCGGGGACTGAAGAAAGTTCTCCCTGTGTGAGCGTGCGCTGCGGAGTGGGACCCAGTGGGAGGACGGCAGCAGAAGCAGGATGTGAGGATCCGAGTGGCCCGGCCCCACCGAGAGGCCGAGGCCACTCAGTGTGTATTTACTGTATGGGAAAGGGATGACACATTAGAAGCCACCATTTTGCAACGCCCGGTGAAACAAATGGTTTGGGCAGAGGCGCCTGATGGAGGAGACCATTTGATGACATGCAGCCGGGGGGCAGACGGTCACCTCCCAGACCCACCGTATCATCGTAGCTTCCCCAGAAGCACAGCCAGGCACGGAGGTCCTGCTGGCGTGAGGCACACAGCACTGTTCATCAAGTATTTTTGCCCAGGAGGAGTCTGGGAAGAGTTTGATGGGAAGCCCCCCACCCCACAAAGATGTCCACACGCTAACCCCTGAGCCTGAGGCTATGTTCCCTGATCTACGAGGGGGCGCGTCCTGGGTTACTCAGCTGAGCCCAATCCGTCTCCCAGCCCTAAGCAGAGCTCCCGCCCCACCTGACGTTGGAGGCCCCGTGGAGGGAGGGGCAGAGCTGTGAACTGGGACGGCAGGCAGAGAGGGACCCCCACGGGCAGCCAGCCAGGTCACAGGGGCCGTAGGGCTGCGGTCACTGGAAACGGGCTCCAACCACCGGGCAAACCCGGAACTGGGGCAACCCCGGAGCTTCCAGTCGGGGACCCAGAGCAGAGAATCCGGACAGGCCTGCAGGCTTCCACCTGCGGGCTGTGAGGTAATGAGCTCGCCTTGAGTTGAGCCCCTGGATGGATGTGCAGCCATTTAGGGAGTTACCAGCCTCTGGGGCTGGCAGCAGTGAGCGCTGTGGGGCAGGGGGCTAGGGGCTGGGGGCTGGGGACTGGGGGCAGGGTGCTGGGGGCTGGGACTGGGGGCTGGGGGCAGGGGGCAGGGGGCAGGGGGCTGGGGGCTGGGGCTGGGGGCTGGGGACTGGGGGCTGGGGGCAGGAGGCAGGGGGCTGGGGACTGGGGAGTGGGGACTGGGGGCAGGGTGCTGGGGGCTAGGGCTGGGGACTGGGGACGGGGCAGGGTGCTGGAGGCTGGGGGCTGGGGCTGGGCCCCGTGAGGAATCAGCAGTGCCCATGGCAGGCAAGTCACATGTGAGAGGGGGGAGTCTGCCCTCCATTCTCCTGACCCCAGACTTGGGAGAGGGGTCCCCACACTGGCCAATCCCCCAACACCGGTCGGGTGCCCTACAGTTCAATCGGCCTCGGACACCGTCCACCTGGAGTCGGCGGCCGAGGCCGCAGGTTGAGGACTGAGTCCCGCAGACGCCCTCCCCTCGCCGCCCCTGCAGACACAGACGGGAGTCCTGGCCTCCGGGGTCCCTGACCAGCGTGTTACAAACGGGAGTCCCCAGCCCCTCCTCAGCTCCAGTCCTTTGCCGGAACAGCTCCCAGACCTCCGAGAAGCAGCTTGCTTGCTGGACCACCGGTTTCTTATAAAAGCTGTGATTCAAGTGCAGGCTGTCCTCCAGCTTGCAGGGAGGGAGCTTCCTTCCCCCAAGTCTGGCCTGCACGTGTAGCTGGGGGTGGGGGTGGGGGGTTGGAGGTGGGGGTGGGAGGCGGGGGAGGGAGAGGAGAGGGGGTTCTTGCTCTCCTAGATTTCCCCCTTGCTGCCCCATTCCTACTGTTAAAGGAAAATACTGGATTTCTAACAATCTCATGTAAACCCACTTGGGTGGGGAAATTTGCACTCAGAGTCAGCATCCCAGCTCCCCCACCCCCACGCCCCAGGGTGCGGCTCCAGGGTGCCATCCACACAGAGTCCTGTCCCCCTCTCCCCCACACACACACACCCTCGTCCTCCGTTCTCAGTCCTTCTCCTGCATCTCCCTCCCTGTGGGACCTGTGGGCTGCTCCTGCAGCTGCCCTTAGCAGCCCAGCTTTGACCGCTACCATGTGACATCAGAATGAAATTCTCCTGAGCAGGAAGCAGGCCCATCCTAGGGAACAATGAGGCCTGCCGCCAGAAGCCCCAGTACCATGGTCTGGAGCGGGGGTTCATTTGAAATCGTGACCCCTGCCGCGAGGCCTCATTAAACAATCTGCTAGTTCCACAAAGAGCCCACGTGCTCACTAGAAGCAGGGGAGGACAAACCAGCCCATGGCCCCTACACAGCTTCGTTGATAGATAAATTACATAAATATAAAATTGATTTTTTTTATAGAGAGGAAGGGAGAGAGATAGAGAGCTAGAAACATCAATGAGAGAGAAACATTGACCAGCTGCCTCCTGCACACCCCCCACGGGGGATGTGCCCGCAACCAACATACATGCTCTTGACCGGAATCAAACCTGGGACCTTTCAGTCCGCAGGCCAACGCTCTATCCACTGAGCCAAACCAGTTTCGGCTTGATAAAGATTTTTATTGATTTCTTAGAGAAAGAGGGGATGGGGGAGAGAGAAAGGCCTGCTTATTGACACATTCATTGGATGATTCTTGTATGTGCCCTGACCGGGGATCAACCCACAACCTTGGCGTATTAGATGATGCTCTAAGGAACTGAGCCTCCGTGCTGGCCATGGGACTCGGAGGGACGTGAGGGGCCGTGTGCTGGGGTCTCCAGAAACCTCTCGTGTTCCTGACACAGGGGCGGCCTCGGTTGGTCACTGCCTTGAATGTGCTATCAGGTCTGTGGGTGCGACAGGCACTTAGCAAGGATAAGGGACAAGCTTGAGTCCCCAGAGCCACCGTACTCAGTGTGGCAATTCAGCAGTACAAGCACGGGTCCTCCGTGCCATGCTTGAGCATCTGCTAAAAACAGCACCCACCTACATGCCAGCTTCTGATCCCTGGAGACGGTACCCCCAGCTGAGCCGGGCCCCCAACATCCTTCCCACCCTCACGAACTGTGGAAACCAAGGCCTGTCACTCACCTGTCCATGGAAACCCATGTTCATTGCAGCCCTATTCCAGGTCAACAGGTGGAAGCAACCCAGGTGCTCATGGGCGGGTGAATGGCTGAGCAGATCATGGTATCTGCATACAAATGGAATGTTACTCGGCCATGAAAAGGAAGGGCATTTTGACACATGCTACAACATGGATGAACCTTGAAGACATCATGCTATGGGAAAAAGGCCAGTCACAGAAGGACCAATGCTGTATAATTCCATGTGTATGAAGTACCTGGAGTAGTCACAATCATAGAGACAGAAAGGGGAATGGTGGTGGCCAGGGGAAGGGAGGAATGGAGAGTTAGGGTTTAGTGGGTTCAGAGTTTCCCTTTTGCAAGATGAGAAAGTTCTGGAGATTGGTTGCACAACAATGTAAGTGCACTTAACACTACTTAATGCACACTTAGAAATAGTAACGCACCGTGGCCATAGCTCAGAGGTTGAGCATTGACCTATGAACCAGGAGGTCATGGTTCGATTCCAGGTCAGGGCACATGCGGGGTTGCGGGCTCGGTCCCCAGTGTGGGACATGCAGGAGGCAGCGGATCGATGATTCTCTCCCATCATTGATGTTTCTGCCTTTCTCACTCTCCCTTCCTCTCTGAAATCAATAGAAATATATTTTAAAAAGAAAAGAAATCCATACAATGGTAAATTTTATGTTACCACATAAAATTGTTTTTGCCACAATAAAAATAAAGATGAATTACCTGGAAATCCTTCCAGCTTTAGAGCAAAATGACCACCAGGAGGCGCAGTGCACCCTTCCTATGTCATTTCAATGGTAGTTTCTAGTGGGGGGCGGGGGGGAGACACCAAGGTCCCTGAGAAAGTTAGATCTCCTCTCCCCCTCTCTCCCACTTGCCTCCTCACCCCCTCTCCCTCCCTTCCTCTCCATTCCTTCTTCTCTCCCTCTCTCTTCTCTCACCCTGTCTCCAAGTTGTTCCAGATTTGCTCAGCACTCCGGAGACATCCCTGTCCCTCCCCGCTCTGAGCCCCGTTTTCCCTCTGGGTCCCTGCCTTCTGTTAGAGACACAGCAGTCCTGGATGTTGGGTGCCCACCCGCCCAGCTGCCCCCAGGCCTCCAGATGACCCAGGCGCTGGAGAAGAGGACTCCCCTGCCCCAGGGTACCCAAGATGAGGGCAGGTCACACTGGAAATGGGCCACACACCTCCTATCCCAGGACCAACGGCGCCAAAGGATTTTCTGGTTCGGCTGCTCCCTGAGCATGTCACAACCTCTGCGGGGTCAGTTTCCTCATCTGGGAAATCTGTCCCAACACCTGAGAGGACTGAAATTGCTTCATAAAGTCCCCCAAGCCCAGCCGGCGTGGTTTAGTAGTCGATCTATGAACCAGGAGGACTGGGTTCGATTCCTGGTCAGGACACATGCCTGGGTTGCAGGCTTGATCCCTAATAGGGGGCATCCAAGAGACAGCCGATCAATGATTCTCATGGTTGATGTTTCTGTCTCTCTCCCCCTCTCCCTTCCTCTCTGAAACCAATAAAGATATATTTCAGAAATAAATCTTAAATATGATGCCTAGAAAGCACTCCGTGAATGGGCTGGTTCCCATCCCACAACCACATCAGGGCTGGCCTGGGTCGCCGCCCATCGCCCAGGGGTGGTCCCCGGGCGCAGCGCCTGCTCTCCACTTTGCATCTTCTCCTGAGAAGCCCGCACCAGAGCGAGGACATCACTGCGAGCGTCACTCACATGCCGCTGAGCTGATGGCGATCGGCCCCGGATCTGATGTGGAGCTCGGTCACCCGGGAACGTGGCCGGGTCACCTTCTCCCTCCTTGTCAGTGTGATTCCATCGTACTGACGACGTACTAACATCATGGCTGCGAGGAAGCAAGACGAAAACACTCAGAAGAGAAAACCCCAGGGTCACATGGAAATTTAGCAGGAAGTTGCCAAGAAGAACCCAAGATTCTTTTTCTAGGGATTTATTACATACACTTTTTTTTTTTTTTTTAACTTCGCGATTGAGTGTTTGTCCCATTGCCTGGCACACGATGGGTACGTGACACCCGATAACCATCACATACAGAGCCCCAGGCACAGGGTACACGATGGATAAGACTCAGGTCCTGGTGTCCTGGTGTCTCATGCCAGCAGGGGCAGCACTGAAGTGGCTAACGGTGGTACGGTGTGTCCGATCCAGGCAAGGGGAAAGGAGGAGAAGGGAAAATGGGATGAGTTCAGGGAAGGCTTCCCGGAGGCAGTGGCATTGACTCAACCCTGAAATGGCATTCTACGGTCTGCTGTCTTGGGTTCTTCTTGGCAACTTCCTGCTAAATTTCCATGTGACCCTGGGGTCCCCCATCCCCTTCTCTAACATAAGGTGGTTGAGCGTCACAGCCTCCTTTAAGAAGAACCTCTGGCTGAAACCGGTTTGGCTCAGTGGATAGAGCGTCGGCCTGTGGACTGGAGGGTCCCAGGTTCGATTCCAGTCAAGGGCACGTACCTTGGTTGTGGGCACATCCCGAGGGGGGGGGGTGTTTCAGGAGACAGCTGATCGATGCTTCTCTCTCATCAATGTTTCTAACTATCTCCCTCTCCCTTCCTCTCTGTAAAAATCAATAAAATATATTAAAAGAAGAAGAAGAAGAACCTCTGAAAGACAGAGCCCATCTTCCCAGAAAAATGCACAGACATGTCTGTGTGTAAGGGGGGCAGAGGCCTTCACAGACCCCCTGAAAGCCATCGGGGGAGCCCAAGCTAACATCCCAGAGCTCAGGGGTCCTGGAGAGCCTTATCCCTGCAGCGCTGGCCCTGCCCCCCGACAGAACCTCTCTCTCTCTCTCTCTCCCTCTCTCTCTCTCTCTCTCTCTCTCTCTCTCTCTCTCTCTCTCTCTCTCTCTCTCTCTCTCTCGACTTCGCAGGCCCAAACAAGCAGCAGCGTTGACCCAGTCTGGAAGAGCCCATCAGGCACGGGGCTGCAGACAGAGCAGGGGCCTGGGGAGGGCCGGTCACGCCGGCTGGCTGGCTGGGGAACCGGAGTTCAGGTTCTGGGAAAGCACCCCCCCCCACTCCCCACCCCCCACCCCCAGCAGCCTGCCCGTGACCTCCACTAGTTCATCGCCATCTGCCCTGCGGGAGGAAGGGGAGCGTGGGCTGCCCTGGGCAGGCTCCCTCACAGGCCACTGACCCCCATCTGCTGCCCAGACCGGAGTTCCCGGATGCATCCTTCATCTCCCCTAATCCAAACAACCGCCGGCCCCCGGGGGCCACCCCCCCAGCCGATGTGTGTCCTCAGCTGCATCCAGCGTGCCAGAGGAGGGGGGAGGGGGGAGGCCATCCCATCCTCACTGGAGCCGCTGCCGTCACCTGACACCTGCATCCCTTCCCAGCCAGCCAACCCTCACCCCGCATTTATTGAGCACCTAGTGTTTGCAAGCAACTGCGAATGAGATGAGGAGGGCTTGCCCTTGTCTCCTCCCTCCGAAAGTCTCTGCCTCCAGGCCTGGGTCCCCCGCCACACCCCCTGCTGCTACCCCACTCACCTGGAGCAGGTGTGGGTGTCGGGGACGTGAGCTCTGGGCTGGCGAATTGGGTTCCGGGAGAATCTGCTCTGGGTTGGTGTTTGGGCACTGCTCTCAGCTGCTGTGTGACCCCGGGCCTGTTTCTGACCCTCTCTGGGCCTCCGTGTCCCTCTGTGCACACTTCCGATTCCGTGATTCCTCCGTTCCGCTCAGAAACGGGCCCCACCTCACTCCCCGCCCCCAGAATGATTGAAGAGAAGAATGCTCCTCTAGGATGGTATTTAGATCCTTCTTTAGACAATAAGAAGGATCTTATTCATTCAGCCAAGCACTTACTGAGCACCTAGTCTATGCCAGGCCCCGGGCTGGGCAACGGGAATGTCAGGATGACCGAGTTGCAAGCAGGCAACCCACCCACCGGCCCCTCACCCCATGCCGGGCGCCTGCCCGGGGGTGAGGGGACCTCCTGGGTCCCCCGCGGGCCTAGCTGGGGTGTAGGGCGCCCCAGGGACTGTGTGTGAGCCTCAGGGCTGCGATCTGTCTCCTCCCCTTCCTCCTCCGCCCCCTCCTCCCCCCTCCCCGCCCCTGTGCGCGGCGCGGCCGCCTCCCACCCGCGGGATCCCGGCGGCGGCACCGGCTCCCGCGTCCGTCCCTCTGGCGGCGGCGGAGTCTGTCTGCGGGTGGAGAGGGCGGAGGCGGCGCCGCGGCTCCTCCCGCTTCGGAGGCGGCGGCGCTGAGCGCGATCGGAGGCCGAGACGAGGCCGAGGGAGGCGGTGAGCGCGGGGTGCGGGACCCCACCCCTGACTCCTGCGGCCCGCACGCGCTTTGGGGGGGCTGGGCTGGGGCGGGGGGGGGGGGCTGGGCTGGGGCGGGGGGCTCTCACCCCCAGGCCGGGAGCCAGGACGACCCAACCCCGGCCTCCCCTCTCCCAGGACGCGACCCTCGAGGGGCCTGGGCCGGCCTGCAGCGCCCGCATCCCCGCGCCCCGCATCCCCGCGCCCCGCATCCCCGCGCCCCGCATCCGGGCAGGGGGAGGAGCGCACGGGGGGGAGGAAGGGGGGGCTGGAGAGGGGGCTTCGCAGGCCAGAGTCCCCGAAAACCCTGCCCCGGCCGCCGCCCTGCCTTCAGCCCGCCCCTGGGGACCCCGGGCGGGGACCCCTTTCCCCCCTCGCTGCCCACCCTCACCGGCTCCCCATTGTTCTCGGGCGGTGATCGCTCGCGCTCGGGGGAAGGCAGAGGGGAGAGGGGGTGCCGCGCTCTCTTCTTAAAGGGCCCTCTCCTCCTGGTCTCTCTCCCCGAAGGTCGCGAGCACGAGTGGGGTGGGGCGTGCCCGCGCCCCCGCCCCCTGGGCCCTGCGCGCAGCTCGGGAGCCGCAGCGGAAGGTGGCTGTGAACACGCCGCCTCCCCCTCCTCTCCATCCTCGTGGATTCTTCAGCCGCTCAGGCCTTCCAGGACGCGTGGAGCGGGCCCCGGAGACAGGGACACCCCTGCCAGCAGGAGCCGTCGGTGGGGCGGCCCGGAGGAGGCCAGCGGCCCTGCGGGGCCGGGCTGGGGCCGGGGACGCAGCCGGGAGCGCAGAGGGCTGGCGGGCGCCGCGGAGAGCGGCCGACTGGGCCCCGCCTGCCCTGGGGGCAGGCCCTGGGCCGACCGACCGGGAAGGAGGACAGACCAGCTGGCGAGAGGCTAGACCTGGAGCAGGGGCGGCTGCCTCTCTCCCGTGGCTGAGCCGAGGGATCCAAGGAATTTAGAGCAACAGCATTTGTCATAAGAAGGACACTTGCTGTCACTGATTCAGGCTGCGTGGACCTGGAGAGACTTCCCACACGCCTGTGACCGAGGCCCCGGGGCCTCCCGGAGGACAGGCCGTGGGCCCGGAGGCCACCCAGGCCCGGCCGCCTCCCTGGGGAGAGGGGAAGTCCCCACCTGCTCCCCGGCCGGCCCAGGCCTCGGGCCGTCCCCTCGGGGTCCTGGCCCCCGAGGCGGCAGCAGCCATGTCCCGGCCGGGCCAGGGCATGCTGATGCCGGTGAGCGGGCTGGGCTTCCCGCCGCAGAACGTGGCCCGCGTGGTGGTGTGGGAGTGGCTGAACGAGCACAGCCGCTGGCGGCCCTACTCGGCCACCGTGTGCCACCACATCGAGAACGTGCTCAAGGAGGACTCCCGCGGCTCCGTGGTCCTGGGCCAGGTGGACGCCCAGCTGGTGCCCTACGTCATCGACCTGCAGTCCATGCACCAGTTCCGTCAGGACACGGGTGAGCTGATGGCACCCCACCCACCCCACCCCACCCGAGGGCCAGGCAGAGCCACTAACGCCACCAGCATCCCTCCCTCCCTCACACCACCTCTCCTGGGGAGATGCCGAAATCCCCCAGCATCCCTCAGGAGGGAGCCTGGGGCTTCAGGAAGGCCAGTCTGTTGATCCAACCTCCACCTCCTCGGCCCCTCCCCCCCCCCCCCCCCCCGTCTTTCCCCCACCCTTGTCTTCACCCCCAAAAAAAGGGACAGCCTGGCCTCGTCCAGGGTAAGCATTCAGTCCCGATCCAGCCTCTCAGTTGCGGGGCCTTGGGCGAGTTACATCATCCCCTCTCCGGGGGCTCAGTTTCCTCATCTGTAAAATGGGTCCATAGCTCTCACGGCTGCGTGAGGATGGAACGAACCTGGGCTCGCTGAGCATAGAACGTAGGACGCTGGCACTCCATTATCGCCACATACTTCCTCACTGGGTTCTTTCCCATCGCGGGCGGTTCCGCCTCACGATTGCGTTTAGTATCAGCCGTCCTCCCATTTTACAGAGGAGGCAACTGAGGCTCACAGAGGCAGCTAAGGGGTTTGAACTCAGAGCTGGGACTCAGGCCCAGGCCACTGACTCCCACAGCGGGAGCTCTGAGCGGGTGCCCCGTACCGGCTCCCCGTGTGTGGGGGGTGTCGGGATGGTAGGATGCTGGTGGCATTGGTGGGGGGCGGGGCCGTAGAGACGGAGGAGGTAGAGTTGGTGGTGGGAGTAGTGACTGTGGTGTTGACGGCTGTGCTGGTGGTTGTCTGGGGGTCGGTGAGATGGGGTGATTATTGATGGAGAGAGTGAGGCTGGTGGCAGTCTTGGCAATGGTGTGAGAGGTGACAACAGTTCCGGAGACGTGCCATCACCGCGGCCAGGTGGTCTCTGTGCCAAGCGGGTGGACAGTGCGGGGTGGGGAGGTCCGGCCTTCTGGGGGGGCTGCCGGCAAATCCTTCCTTGTCCTGTTTGACCCCGAGGGCCAGCAAGTGGGGGTTCGGGGGCTTTCCGGGGGACCCCTGGGTGGCAGAACCACATGGGACAGGCAGGAGGACACGTCCCTTCTCTCGAGAGCTGTGCCGTCCCCACACGGCAGCCACGAGCCCCGGGTGGCTATTGAAGCTCCCGTGAGATAAAGTTAAACACAATTTAAAATTCAGTCCCGCGGTCCTGCTAGCCACGAGCAAGTGCTTGGTAGCCACCTGCGGGACAGGGAGATCAGAACAGGCCATCATCGCTACAGGCTGGGGGCCACCTGCCCTAGAACACAGCACGGGCCTCGCCGGTGGTCTCTGAGGGTGGAAGCCAGGTGTGCCCACGACAGATTGTTTATGGACGTGACCTCTCAGAACATCCTGATCCCCATAACCCCCGGCACTGACGGCGGGTCCCGGTGTGCGAGCTTCCATTCCCGCCGCCATGTGACCGTGTATTCATGTCCCACTGTGTGTCCGACCCTGCGCGGGGCACTGGGCCATGGCGAGGAGCCGGCCCTGAGCAGAGGGTCGCCACGGGGCCGCGGCTGGAGGTCCCGGTGGAGCAGGGGTAGTCGGGGAGCAAACACACACGTAATCTCACAGATAATCGGCTGCAGGCCTGCGAACATGAGATAAACCTGGTCTCGGGAGAGGTGGGGGGATGTCACGGAAGGCTCACTGAGGAAGGGAGTTAGAAGAGTGAGGGAAGGGCGCCGTGTTCCGGGCAGGGGGGACGTGCAAAGGCCCTGTGGTAGGAAGGAGAGGACGTTCAAACCCGCTGCGTTTGGTGCCGTGCTGGTGGGGAAGGCGACACAGGATGAGGTGGGAGCCCGGCCTGGACGGCCAGGAGAAGGACTTTAAATGTTTGGAGCAAATCACCGTCGCATCCTCGGGCCCATTCTTCCCGAGGCCGGTGCCGCCGAGGGAAGCAGGAAGTGCCGCACGCTCTGGTTCCTCCCGGAGGCCGAGGTCGCCCACAGGAGGTGGCTTTTCTCGCCGCGGCTCCGAGTTCGGTGTTTCCTGCAGGTTCAGAGCTGGATGGAACCAGGGTCTGGTGTGGGGACTTGGGTTCCTTAGAACAGGGCTAGTCCCACCCAAGGCCGCCGAGCTGGCCAGTTTGGCTTTGATTCCGCCCTCCCCCCATGTTGGGGCCCTTTTCTCTTCACAGCACCCCCACTTGGGATCCTCGCTCCTCCACCCCTCCCCCTTCAGCAGGCCCTTCCTCCCCGCCGCAACCCTGCCGCACCCCCGCCACACCCCCGCCCGGAACGGCTCACTCCGCGCCTGCCCCTGTTTGCCGGAAAAGAGAAAAAAGCCCTCATCCCTCCCTCCGCGGGCTCCTGGGAGCCTGCCCAGACCCAGCGAGGGCGAAGACTGGGAACCCTGGGGGCGGGTGGGGGACCTCGAAAGCCGGGCAAACTGCTAGAGGGAGGGGCGCGGCGCGTCCCCACCGGACGTGTCTTAGTGTGTGTGCGCCCCACTTCTCCCGGGACATCCTGTCCTCATGGCTAATGGTCCAGGGGAGACCCTCAGGCAGATGTCCTCGCCTCTCCAGGCCTCAGTTTCCACATCTGTGACATGGGCAGCAGCTTTTCGAGGAAGGTCGTTGGCTTGATGGAAAGAACCAAACCTGTTGTTTTATCCCACAAACCTTGACTAATCACCTACCATGTGCCTCACGTGTGCTAAATATTATAGACGCACAGGAGGACGAGTGGCAGATCCTAAATCTTAAAATGGTTCTCCCTTCTCTTCCCTTCTCCCTCTTCTCTCTCTCTCTCTCTCTCTCTCTCTCTCTCCCTCCCTCCCTCCCTCCCTCCCTCCCTCCCTCCCTCTCTCCCTCTCCCCACAAAACAGTATAAAGTTGTAAAACCCAAAGCTTGCATATATGTACTGAGATAGACACAGCTATCTAGATCTTGTCATTGTAAAATTCTCGACGCGTCCCTTGAGGCTGAACTTGAACTTGGGGGATGCAGCGGAGCTGCCCAGCCTTGCTGGTGCCCTAGCATCGGAGCCAGCAGGCTTCCCAGGAAAGTCAGACAGGACACAGTTTGGCCTGTGTGGGCCCCACGGTCTCTGCCGAACCAGCTCCTCTCACCGTGGTGGCGTAGGAGTAGCCGGGGACGGCGTGTCAGTGAATGAACTTGGCCAAGTTCTCACACTCGCCCGTGGGCTGCACAAAAGCAGGCGGAAGGCCGTGGTCTGGGGTGGTGTGTGCCAACCTCTGCCCATTGTGTTCTTATCCCGCAAGTGGGGCAAGCCAGGGCCGGGGCCACAGCTCGCCCGGCACGGCGTGTGCCGAGAGGCACGCCTGTGGTGTGTACCAGGGTAGGCGCCCGTGTGTGTGTGTGTGTGTGTGTGTGTGTGTGTGTGCGACAGCACTGGCCCTCATGAACGCCGCCAGGAAAGGAAGTCCAGGTGACGGGCTCGGGCTGCAGGCCGGGGCTGCTGTTTGTTCAGCCGGCGCCCCCTCACCCCTCCCTCATGGGCGGCTGCCATCGCTCCCCACGGCTTGTGAGGTTCCCTTTGAAGCCTGGCGGGTCCATGTGGCGGGGAATGCAGTGACCTTGGGCCACATCACACACACACACACACACACACACACACACACACCGAGAGGCCACAGCTTCCCTCCCCCGGAGCCTGGGTTTCCACGTGGTCCCCACAGCTGGACAGCGATGTGACTTAGCCGCTTTCCGGCAATTCCCGGTTCCTCCCTGGGCTCCCGTGGCGGGGGCAGGGCGGAGGGGCACTGTTCTGACTGTGGTGTCTCCCCCCCTCCCCCCCTCTGCAGCTGGGGGACGGATGGCAGCCTTCTGCCCATTCTGTAGCTGGGACAGCGGAGGCCGGGGGAGGCCAGGCTGGGGACCATCCACAGCTGCTGTCCCCGAGGTTCACAGCACGGCTGTCCCTGCGCCCCAGCTGCTGGGCTGGAGTCACAGGTGGCCCCTGGCTTCCACGTCTCCCAGGCTGACTGCATCCCTTGGGTGGGGGACCTGGGCTCCACGCAGGCCCGGTCCCCGCCTCGATGGGCACATCTGTCTGGAGACGCCTCAGGCTGTTGGAGGCTGGGGGAGCTGGGGGGGGGCGGGGGGGGGGGGAAGCGCCCAGAGGGAGGAGCAGTCATCACCAGGGAGAACGCTGCCAGAATGTAGACTCCTCCCAGGCAGGTTATTGCACAGGCAGAACACAGAGGCTCAGAGAGGGTGAGTAACCTGCCCAAGGTCACACAGCCCAGCCACCCCACGCTGGAGCCAAGCCTTCCAAACCGTTCTCAGGGGTAATGAGCAAGGTGACCTTCAGTGCTGGGCTGAGAAAGGCCCCTCTCCCCTCCCTGCTGGAGAGCTGAGTTGGGATCTGTTCTCGGGGGTTCTACCAAGTCAGGAACAGCCTGTGCAACCCAGAGGCCTCCGGGGCCGGTTCCCTCACTGCAGGACCCTGTGGGGCCCTCTCCCAGCCACGCACAGAGGCCCAGGGCGCTGGGCCTGACATCAGGGCGAGAGGGCTGTGCATGTTTGGGTGGGGAGGCGTCTGTCCACACGTGGGTGTCTTTCACTCCACCTGTCACACTGCCTCCATTTCCACCATCGCAGGGCCTTTCCCCCCGTCCCGCACCCCAACCTTTGGCCTCTGGCTGCTTATCTGCCTCCAGAGTCTCTTCTTTTTTATTTCAACCCCCAACTAATTCTTTTTTTTTAAATATTTTTTATTGATTTTTTACAGAGGGGAAGACAGAGGGATAGAGAGCTAGAAACATCAATGAGAGAGAAATATTGATCAGCTGCCTCCTGCACGTCCCCCACTGGGGATGTGCCCGCAACCAAGGTACATACCCATGACCGGAATCGAACCCGGGACCTTTCAGTCCCCAGGCCGACACTCTATCCACTGAGCCAAACTGGTTTCGGCTCCAGAGTCTTTTCTGACACCATCCGTCCATCCTCACTTCTGTTTACAGTCAGAGGTGCCTGCTCGGTGCCGGGACCCTGGGCGGGGTCCC